GGTATAAAATTACAAAAGAAAATGTTTTTATCCTTTGATATTTTTGGATATTTTGAAGAATAATGTCATTTTTCGATGTTTCTTTTTTTAAATGTCAATTTTGACAGGTTAAGGAAATCACGTGACCTATTTTGTAGACGCCATTTGACATCATTTCTTAAGCAAAATCTACTGCCAAAATCAAATTTCACATAAAACGATAAATAAAAAAGTTTCCCATTTGATGCGGACTTTATCGGTGACACTGTATATAGCCTAACACTCACTAATCCTATCGGCCCCGATTATGAATATTGCCTACGGTCCGCCTAAAGGCTGCCTCTGTCAATTCATAAATATAACCTATTTTAAATCGACAATCATGATCTAAAGTTGATTTAACACTAAGCCCCATGATCATTAACGACTTTAATCACTATTAACCATCCTAGCCAGAATTTTAATCGCGATGATCTTGTTGCGTTTCATCACTATCTTGTTCCAATAAGTGCATAATTACGATTAACATTTTAGCGGCTATTTTTGATAAACCAATATCGACTGCCGTATGGGAAGTTACTACATGCAACTGATACTCTTGCACTCGATGAATGGAACTTAATGAAGACGCCATTATGGAAAATACAGAATGCAATGCTTTTGGGCTTTGATTTCCCACTCTGCCGAAAGTAAATTCTCATTCGGCAATCAATGTCGTAATGGTTTTGTAATGGACCACCGCTGGGAACCTCGTTTTTGGTTTGAGTTTTCTATCGATATCAATAAATACCAAGTAGTAAAAAAACTTTCTATTCAAGGTTCATGTTCAAATGGTTGATGAACTTGGTTCTGTTTTCTGTACTAAAGGAGATGCACAGAACAAATACTGTCCTTGAATTAGAAACTGTTAAGCGAAAGCTCTAAACGAGAAAAGAATTCATTCTGGGGGTTTCACTATTCGCTGCTAGAAAGTAGTAAAGAAAAAATCAATCATTGTCAGTTCATCTACTTATTATGTGTATCACACGGTTAATAAACTTGGTGGTGCTTTTTATGTTAAACGAGGCGAATAGAACACATTTTTCTCAAGTTAGAACCTGTTAGGCAGAAGCTCCACCCAAAAACAGAAGAAAAGAAACCATTCTTGGGTTCATATAAGAATAAACTGGCACATGGTATTTTTGACAATAGACCTAAAATATACCGAATATCTCAGTGATCTCTGGTCTATCAAATGTTTTCATCAGGCCAAGCACTCAGAAGAGTAAGACTGGCGATAAACTTACTGATAGATATTTTTCAATACCATGGTATACCGAAACCGCATATGTTGGCAAAATATGCAGAGCTTCTGCATTGACGAATTGAATTTCCCCATCTCTGCCAACATAAAACTACGAAGACCATGGTCTTCGTAGAGACCATGGTGAGAAAATTAACCCCAGTTTGATGTGACGTAAAATTCAGAGGGATTATGAATCAAGATTTCACAGTATATACATGTTTGTTCGGAATATACAGTGATATGATAAATAGAAGGGTTTTACTGGCATTTCATTGAAGTTATTTTCAATTTCTTTAAAAAATGGGATGTAATAATAGCGCTGGAAATGATTGAAAAAGATGAGAAATTCCGTGATGAATAATAAATAGATAACTAGAAGACAAATTTTTGACAATTCGGACGTGTTTTGAAAAATGTTTTTCGTCAGTTCCATCTAAAACTACTGTTTATCTGAAACAAAAAGGTAATTTTCAAAACTAATTTCGTAAATTACCATTTTGTGCGTTCCGCATTACATAAATGTAACCTACCTAACCTAACCTACCTGAGCTAACTCCAACCAAAAATCGTGACCACAGCATCCAATGTTTTCTGTGACTTGGAAATAATTCCAAAGAGGAATACATGGCACTCGATATCGTGAAAACTGCCAGAGAAAATATCAGGGGCATTCGTATGGAACCTAATCTGTTACTCCACCATCCTACCAATGGCGAAAACAGCATCTGTCCAAAAGGATTGGCAGCGACTACAAATCCCATGAACTCTTTTCCTGCAGTTGGGTCTAACTAAAAAACAATGATAATAAGAAATTTTAAATATATTTTCTTCTATACATTTAAGAAGAGAAAGTAGAATATCGGTTACTTCAGCCATTTGCTAATGCTGACCCAAGGTAAAGAATCCTTGCAAACACGTTTTCGTGGCTGTGTCTATACAGACAACCTTCAGAGCAATACACATTGTCAGGCTGAGAAATGGAGAGGTTCTCAACATCAAAAATTATTTCTTTCATAAAAACATAGTCTTTCACGGCCGAGGCCACGATTAAAAAGAACAAAATCCAGACTAGTATAGGTTGTGATCGAATGGAACCTGAAGTATTCAATGTTTCGTCTGCTATGTCGAGTACAAAAATTATATCTTGAAGTCTCGGCAAACAGTAACTAACACAACATAGTAACAGTGACTACACTGTTACTATGTTGTTCTGATTGTTCCTGAGCATTTGCATGGACACCCCCAACCACCATTTGAAATTATAATTACGAGTGAGCACTTAGCTAGCCAGCCCGTCGTTGCTGAGGCTTCGAGATATACTTTCGTCCTCGCAGTCAACGCACATAACACTTTTTCCATGGATAAAACATAAGCACTACAGAAAAATCCTTAAGGCGCTCTCAGACCGGTGTCTGTGAGAAAGTAGTGATTCACATTGGGTTTGAATCGTTGGAGATTAAATCCACTTGGAGAAACGTTCCCAGGAAGTTTATTCCACATAAACGCAGTTCTCCGGATGAAAGAGTTCTTGAACAGTGAAGTTTGAGATATTGAGTTGAACCTCAAAACGATGAGCAGCCACAGTCCGTGGCGTATTTCTGCAATGTACCGCTCTTGGTGGAATCAAATGTGCCATGTCACTTGAACAGTTACCGTTAAAGTATCTATAAAAGAGAGACAAATCTTCAACCTTTCTCCGATGTACCAGGCTATCGAAGTTGCACGTGATGTTCGCGTCTTCAATCAGGCGGATGGCTCGTTTCTGGATGGAATCCAGCAACTTCAGTGTATGTTTGAGGACAGAGCTCCATACATGCCGACAATACTCAAAAGAAGGTCTCATCTGAGCTTTATAGAGCATCAAAAGTTGCTAAGTTGTGTGCAGTTTTCTGGCTCGGAACAGTGTTCTAAGCTTTTGAGAAGCAGCCTTTGCAATTCCAACGACATGATTGTGCCAAGACATATTGGTGTCCATTTTAACCCCAACAAACTTTTGGTAGCAGAAAGCGGAATTATCTGACCTGACACTATTATACTATAACAATTTTCAATTGAAGGTGAATCATTAGCAACGTCGGACTTGAAGTGACCAACGGATAATCCTTTTAACAACTCTGCAGAGGCGTACCAAAATAATATTTTGATTTATTTAAACACATAGGTAATTACATAAAAATTGTTATAGTAGGTGGCGCTACCTGGTGTCAATGGTAAAAATGATTACATTTTCTTATTATGCCTAATACAGTACTTCAAAAAAACAGAAAAATTTACAAAATAATCACTATGATCCTTTTATATAGAAAGAGAACTACAAAGCAAAGAAATAATTACCTATGTTATGCTTATGAAGTTTCAGAATCCATTGACTCGTCCGAAGAGGAATCTCCAGTAACACTTAAATCTATTATTATTTGGTCGAAAACAGTGTCTACTATCCCGTCCAATCTCCACATTTTCTCTT